TCCAGATTTCTGCTCTACTGAGCTGAGCAATATCAATACATCTAGGTAAGTACAGTTCATCTGATATAATGATAGACTTTAAAAGACAGAATAGTGCGGTTTGTCACCCTTACAGGAGATTGAAAGTAAGCATGCCATTTTCAAAGCAGCGTGTATATTTATAAAACTAACGAAAATAGTTTATTGAAGAACATTTCAATACATGTTTTTCCAGTAGAAAAATAAACTGATATTCTTTTGTATAAATATAAGCAACATCATTTTCATATTTCCTTTTTGTGATATTCATATACGCAAAATATTCGCATGAACTGAGAAAGCGGCTATTAAGAAACATACGAATATTAGCCAACGCCCTAATGTATGTAGGTTGCGTTCGACGGGAACGATTGATGTGAAACTGAGTTAGGTTGCTTTTTAAAAGATAATGGTCCGATAATAAACTATGATATCAGTACCTGGTGGAAGGCTGGGGAATGTACCATATCTATCCCTTCCTTGACCAAACAAGCTCCAAAAATCATATCATCGGGTGAATCTATTGAAGGACATGTACATCTTTCTGTAAGTATTTTTAAGGCGGGTATACTGAAAACTATGCCCGCCCCTCCAGTTAAGTAAGAGTAACCACCTCCCTAAAATAAAAGAAAAAATCAAATTCAGGATCTATGTCTTCAAAAATAATTTTAAAGAGTGGCTACTTAATGCCCCCAGCTCAAAAATCAATCAGTTATTAGACAGAAAAAATGCTTATTATAAATGTGAATAGAATGTACTTATAGCATTTACGAACATATATGTACATACATATGTCAAATTAATTCTAAAATATTTACATATTGTTGGCCCACGAACAGGGTTCCACATTTGTGGGTTTTACCGTTTATTTGCTACTTATTTTATTGTTACTTTGAGCAAATTAACATTATTATAATTTTTGACGTACAGTCAGTCAAAACAAACTTCGAAATTCGTAAATGCAGCACGCTGACTGACCGATCGGCAAGGATGACCGTAATAGCACGCCACCGATAAATAATAGAAAGGATAGGTCTGGAGCAGCACAGCTCAAACAAACCAGTCTTGTACACACATGCAGTGGTGGCACTAGACCATGTATAGACGTCGGCGACACCAGCAGCTTTGCATAGTCAAAAAAAATGTTATACCCTAATATATTAGTATATGCGTTTTATTGCATATCAGATGAAAAAAAATTAAATAAACAAACACACAAATCAAAGTAGACGAACTTTTCAGCTTTTAGCCTCACTGAATTGTTTCAAAACTAATCATCCGGCATTTTCCGCTTCATTTAATAGAATTGGTAGAGCAGATAGTATCTCTCTGGCCAGTGTCATTGATAAAGTCTGGTGAACTGGATTTTAAAAGCAGCAGTTCTTCGCAGTTCAAAAGGCTGTAAGTTGATGTTTTCACATTTCTAAAGTATTGTACCTAAGTCGTTACAATGCTTGACAAGGTCCTCGTTTGATATAGATTTCATGCGCACATATTCTCTTGAAATTATGACGAGATCACAGACACTTGAAATGGGGTCATACCATTGTTTCAAATAGAGTTGTCACTATTAAGGAATGAATCAACGGGCCACTTTAGGTCTATTTAATATCACCAACACGTAAAAAGAAGGTGGTAGACAAGGACCAGTCGACCGAGGCGGTACCACCCGCTAGCTTTTCCCAGGGTGTCTTATAAATGTCCGCATGTTTCCACACCTAAGCTATGCAGTCGGTTATCTTCCAAAACAAAGAAATTAATGATGATGGATCCCTCGAGCACTAAGAACTCCGGTCGTAAATAAAATTTGTTTTTCGAACATCTGCGGGATCAACAGCAACATTGATGTTGTTCATCACTACCTGCAATCCAATCGTCCCGCCGTGCTTTTCTTGGCGGAGACAAAAATCTCAGAGACTGCACCGATTAACCATCTCAACTTCCCAAACTACGAGGTGCACTCCTGTGGCTTTTGTCCGCAGCAGTTTTTCCTGCTCCAGGGATCTTTCTTTGGAATCAGACTGGAAGGACATTCTGTGGCTTCGCCTCAACTCCAAAACATCACCCAAATTTATTTGCTGCCTTTATCGCTCTCCCTCGAACCATAACTGGGATGACCTACTCGAATACCTTGCCGTCCAGATCGACTTCCTGAACATCAATCACCCCGCTTCAGAGGTAGTTCTTCTCGATGATTTCAATGCCCATAATGAGCTTTGGTTGGGGTCAAATAAGACCGATGCAGCAGGTCGTGCAGTCGAAGCGTTCGCTCTTACTCAAGGGCTGACCCAGCTGGTGACGAGCCCTACTTTCTTCCCCCGCGTCTCGTCACACGCCAGTAGCCTGCTGGATCTCTTTCTGACCACGCATCCTGATCCTTACAGCACTGCTGCCCTGTCCCCCCTGGGTAGTTAGGAGGTTAGGTTTCGGTCAGAAACCGCTGTGGCAGCAGAAACTCGTACAGGCCGCAAAATTTGGCATTACGGACATGCCGACTGGGAGGGGCTCAGAGACTTCTTCTCTAGCTTTCCTTGGAGAGATGTCTGTTTCACTGACGCGGATGCGTCGACTGTCTGTTCTTCGATAACCGAAATTATCCACGTCGGAATGGATGAATACATCCTTCACACAGTGAAAGTTCCTAAACCAGGGTCCAACGGCTGGTTCAACAAATCGTGTGACGCTGCTCGCCAGCAGAAGATCAAGGCACACAGAACCTACTTACAAAACCCCACTGTAGAGAACAGACAAGCCGACGTCGAGTCCAGAAACAAATATAACGAAGCGGTTCGCAATGCCAAAAACCAGCATAATATAAAAGTTAGGCACAGGGTAATGTCGCAGCGCAATGGCAGTCGGTCTTTCTGGACGCTGGCCAAGTAGATTGAAAAGAACTTCTCACACAGTAGCATTCCACCACTTACGTGTCAAGATGGAACTATTGTATTCGACTCAAAGGCCAAGGCGGAAGTGCTAGCCAAGATCTTTGCTGCCAACTCCACCATGGACGTCCCCACCAACGCCCAAGTGCCGTCAATTCAAAGGGTTCCCCACACTATGCAGGAGGTAATATTCAGGCATAAGACCATAAGACGAGTGCTCTTGTCGCTCGACATCAACAAAGCTTCTGGTCCGGACTTGATTCCTGCTGTTGTACTGAAGAGATGTGCAGCGGAGCTTGCTCCAGTTCTTTCGCGTCTCTTCCAGATATCTTATGAATCCGGCACCTTCCCAGAAAACTGGAAATTTGCTCATGTACAGCCCATCCCAAAAAAAGGATCTAAGACCGACCCTTACAACTACAGACCTATAGCTCTGCTTTCTGTTATAAGTGATGGAGAGGTGCATAAATCGCGAGCTTCTGGACTACCTCGAACGTCACAGCTTGATTAGTGACAGGCAGTACGGTTTCCGGCACCAACGATCCACAGGGGACCTCCTAACTTACGTCACGCAACTGTGGAGTAAAGTCATCCAGTCTCATGGTGAGGCTCATGTCGTTGCTCTTGACATCACGAAAGCGTTCGATCATCCGTGGCACGCTGCCAACTTCCATCCTATGGCCTCCCAGAAAAGCTTTGCAGATGGGTGGCTGACTTTATGTCTGGCCGCAAGATATCCGTCGTAATTGACGGATTCTCCTCTTCATCCCACAACGTCAACGCAGGTATTCCCCAGGGATCGGTCTTGGCTCCAACACTGTTTCTCTTACATATCAACGACCTCCTTTCCTGCACGATCAACCCAATTCACAGCTTCGCTGATGACAGCACTCTACATGCAGGAATTCAGAGTGACAAGCCGATCTCTGCCGCTGAGCTGGAAAAAAGAAGACTAGCGACGACTTCTTCTCTGACAAGAGACCTGGAGGCTATCACTGCTTGGGGACGCAACAATCTTGTACAGTTCAATGCTTCCAAAACACAGTACTGTACTTCGACGAACAAAAGGCGTCCTAGCGCTCATACAGTTTCGATGGACGGCCCAGTTCTACCAAAGAGCCATTCATTTCGGCTGGTCGAAGTCCAGATCACCGAGGACCTGATCTGGCACGAACACATCTCTTCAATAGCTGCAGCTGCTGGGAAAAAGCTAGGCTATTTGTTTAGGGCTAAGAAGTACTTTTCTCCGCATGATCTTCTCACTCTATACAAGGCCCAGATAAGGCCTAGCCTCGAGTATTGCTCACACATTTGGGGTGCTGCCGCCCCGACTACATTGTCAATACTCGATGCTGTCCAGAGGAGGGCGGTCCGATTGATCGATGACTCTTCTCTAACAGACAGTCTCGGGACTCTTTCGCACCGGAGGGCCGTCGGCGATCTAGCTCTCTTCCATGATGCCGCCGCGCGATGTGCCTGCCAGACAGACCCGCCTGACTTCGGCGTCCCATCCTAACCGTGTCAAACTTCGTACATCCAGAACTGGCAGATACGACCGCTGCTTCGTCCCGAGGGTGTCTAGATTGTGGAACAATCTACAAGAGGAAGCTTTTCCTAGTTCTACTAACCTTAGGCAGTTCAAAAATCGTATTAACAAAATTTCTTTGGGATTATCATAGCAGCCGCGGTGTTCCGGCATTTAGGCTTCTGCCTGCGCGGCTGTTTCGATATAAAAAAAAATCTCAGTTCATAGGAGTATGTTTCAGACTTTTAGGAACAAATCAGAGATTACAGTCACGACCGTCAATTCAATATACATAGATATGGGTATTTCCCAACAAATTTTGAAATTTCATTTTGCATTTCTTAAAGAAAATTAATGAAAATATATCCCTTTTGACAGAAATATAAAATTTTATTTTAGTGAGGTTTATTGAAAATGAAGGTCCTCCATATTTTTGTGTATAACATGTAGAAAAATGACTTTGAAAAAACTATGAAATGAGGGAATGACTGATAGGATGGGGGAATGATTTTTACAACAATTTGGTGCTGAATTTCAAAGAAAAACATAAGTTAATTTATTAATAGATGTATTGAGATTTGTATAATACTTTAGAGAGCTTAGATAGTCCTTCTTCCTGGGCACATCCTTGTATTTTCATCATTCTCTAAGAAATTAACAACATCACCCTTAACTTTCAGCATTATGGTGCTAACTTTGGTACAGTTCTTTTGTTCGATTTATATAGCAATTTGTATTTTTGCACTAATTGCAGCTTCAACATTTTGAAATATTTTTCTTTTCTCCATGTTTACTTCCAAGATCTTCATAGTTATTCTTGAGGTCCGTTGAAAGACCTTCTCCGAAAATCTTTTCTTACAACGTCAGGAACTTGTATATTCTTTAAAAGACAAAACGCTTTAGTTGCTGGAGAGTTTGGCTCAGTATTTTAAGTTTTCAATCCCAAACACCTCTTCTTATATTTTTCGCTAAGCTTGACTGCGTTCCTTACTTTATTTTACAAACTTTTAATCTTCGCGTACAGAATAGTTCGCCGCTTGCGCATTCTACGTCTATTGAGAGCAGACAAATTCTCTGCTCTGTGCTGTAAAGATGGTGCAGAACTTGGTGGGGGTGTTTCTTCAACTCTGTAAATTTGCTTGTAATGTAACTCGCTTTTCCCTATAAACTTTACTACTCTTCTTCCATTGTTTTCGTTTTTGGCTAGCTTCTCTTGCACTCATAGAACTTATTCACTTAACTTGACCTTTACCACTCTTCTCTAACTACTTTAATCTCCTTTTTCACGCAAAGCTTCTAAACACTCAGCATTACTTTTCATTTGTTCTCGTCTCCTTCTATCGTAATCCTTTTTTAATTTCTTTTCTTTTTCACTTAACTTCTTAATTTTCCCCATTCTTGATCTACGGATATCTGTTAAAATTGAAAACACATGGAGTTAAACAATAACACCCAAACCACAATTTTATATATGTAAAAATCATTCCCTCATATAATTGCCATTTCCTCACTTTGTAATATAGTGAGGGAATGACCGTGAGGGAATGACGGATTTGCATAAACGACACCGTAACCAACAGTACATCACCTCAAATTGATTTAGCATTTTGTGAAGGCATTGTACTCTCCAAAATAAGAAAAAATCTTCAAAACATTCGAACAGTATGATTACTTACCTTTTAATATAAACAGTGGCGTAATGACACAGAGAAATGTAATGTTCTAAATATTGAAATCCAATGCTTTTTTGCAGCAACTCTTCTCACTATTACGGAACTTCGCCATGTGGACAGTATTAGCAGTATTGCCACGTTTCAAATACATAACAGCTGCGATCAAAAATATCAAATGATGTGACCACAAATCAAATATTTATAATGGGTGAGGGAATGATTTCATTTCAAGGGACATAATGTTTAAATAGATTTTTTTATATACATATTTATTTTTTAGCAATGAAAGCTTGACTATACAATCCATACTTATTACCACATATTTTAGTGATATTCAATTTATAAGAATATGAACAGATTTGATTGTATATATTTTTTTATCATTAATTTCGGACCCAGGGACGAGATGAGGGAATGACTTTTACACTGAAAAATTAATCGTATTTTTTTGTGTCAATATATTACCTACATTTTGGCTTCTAAAATATCAGTTTAGATACTTATTGATATAATAAAAATGTTAAATTGATGATAAATCCATGCAACTTAGCATCAATGGCTCAGGACATGAATTTCGAAATTTGCTGAGAAATACCCATAGATGGGTTTGATCTAATGGCACTTCTTTTAGTGTCTATGGAAATTTCTTATGGGCATTTTTGTTTTGACATGTTCACAAAACATTAAACTTTGTACTTGACAAAAACTCTTCTCTTCTGAAAACAGTTATCATTAATAACCACACAAGCATAACCCTTACAGTATCTGGCCAAAATATCCTTATCTATTGGCCCATTAAGCTTTACAAAACTTTTTTAACGATATTTATCTCTACGATGTTTGCATACCTAAACAGAAATAAATGCGGAATCGGAGAGTCCCGAGTCACGCAAGTTGGTGGAACTATATTCTATTTCTTTGGAACCTAGGATTAGCCAAAAAATAAGGATGTTTTAATAACTTCCATGCACATAAATGCAGCCGACATCTATGATTTTTCGAGAGAGAAATTACGTATAGTCATTGATTAACATATTCATGTTAATCAGTGGTGTGAGACATTTCCGTAAACTCCGACATCGCGCGCTTAAGCTATGAATACGGCTCTGGCCAGTCTGACTCCCCCCATATCTCATCCTGCTTATATACGCACCTCGAACATTTAGTAAAAATTATTTTTAAACGATCAGAACTGCAAAAAGAGTGATAACATGTTACAGAGGAACTAACCATCAAGAGATTGTATCCATATTTCTGGCCTATAGCGACTGGTATACTTGAGTCATAGCAACACAACAGTGTATGAAGCCTAGAGACGCTGAAAATAAAAAATTATCAAATGCTACAAAAACTATCTGCACCGCTTTCTTAAGTACAAGTGGAATTCAATCACTCAACTACTAAAAAATATTTGTAATATGCAATATAAAAATGTTTCTGGTTCAAAATATGTTATTTTCCACAAAATATTCAGCACCTGAAAATCGTGTCGTCATCTGCTAAAACCAACCACTTCGCATTCAGTTCTCCATTCTTGATTTTCTTATTGACATAGTGTAATATAGATAAAGATTTTTGGCAGTGACCTCTTTCTGTATTTGGAATCTTTATATCTATGGTTGGTATATTGTAATCTAAAAAAAAATCTAATTTGTCTAGAATGGATTATACGAGGTTTGTCCGGGAAATACGTATAAAAGTGGAATAAAAACTTTTTTCACAATTTTTGAGGTATTTCAAAGTACTCCTGCCACAAGATGCACTTCTGCCAACACCGTTTCCACTGTTGATACGATCGCTGAAAGTCTTCAATTATGAGGCTCTTCAGATTTGCCGTATCGTTTCTGCCTTGACGGCTTCCACATACCTCAAGTGCCGCTCCCGAAGCACCATTTTGCATTTTTGGAGCAGGAAGAAGTCGCAAGGGGCTAAATCTGTTACGGTGATTAAGCTCACGCACAACGAGACGTGTGAACAGGCGCGTTGCCGTGATGAAGGATCCACCTGCCCCTTGTGCCAAATCCGGTCGAACTCGGGCCACACGAGCTCTAAGTCGACGAAAAACTTCAATGTAGAAATTTCCGTACACTGTCTGGCCGGGAGGGATAAATTCCTGGTGAACAATGCCCCGAGAATCAAAGAAAACGATCAACATTGTTTTCACATTGGACCTTGTTTTTTTTTCAACTTATTTGTTCTCGGTTCCCCAAGACTCGTCTCCAGAGATGACCCGGTTGAGAAAGTCCCCCCTTTCCTCTGCTTCCAACCAATCCTCACAGCAAGCAACCCTCCTTGCTTTCTGTTCTGGAGTCAAGAGCTTCGGAACGATTTTCGCGCAAAATTTTTTCATTTCAAGTTTTACTGCCAGAATTTCGTGGACGATTGATTTGCGGATTGACAGTTCCTCCGCTATCATTCTAACTGACAATCGGTCTTTAAGAACATAGCCCCGAATTTCGTTCAACATTTTCCTCAGAGCTCGATGAGGAAGGACGTCCTGAGCGTTGGTCATCTTCCACATCTCGGCCTTCCCGAAACCTTTCCAACACTTGTTGACGGTTGGTTCCTTCAGAAAATTGTCTCCAAACACTCAAAAATCTCTCGACCATTTTTACCTAGCTTTGCAAGAAACTTGATGTTGAGAGAGAGCTCCATGCCGGTAAATAATGGTTACTTGAAACAAGCACACGTAAATCATACTTACTCCGAGATCGCTCCGGCTCTAACTGAGCACAGAGGGAATTGGCCACCCCTCCACATCGCCTTGACATGACGCCCCGAATTTTGCATACGTATTTTCCGGACAAATCTCGCTTGGTATAATGTAAATTAATATTCTACACTACGCTAAATACTGTCGTTAAGATGCACAGAAATTCGTTAAAACCTACAAGATCATTTTTTTGGCTTTGAGTTGTGATGGGGTCTGGTGGGACCCTCCTGTAGGTCCAAGCATAAAACAGGATGAATTCGAAATATATGCACTAGGAAACAAGTATGAAAACATGTTAAACAAAACTGCTTTCTGAAAATTTTGGTGACTTGGTTTAAAAAAAGGATTACACATAATTCATTCATCTACAAGTGTCGGAAATAAAAAAATAGTTTAACTATACCTTTTGTATCACTGAAAAAATCTATTTTCGCAACATGAGGACGCCAAGTTTCATTTATGACTTTTACTCTATCTTCATGGTATTTCCCACACGTTTTTACAGCATAATATACACTATGTTTTGGCATTGGAATATCCTAGAATACATCTTTCAAAGCATACATTCAGACTTGAATCATGTTTTTAAGACTTTCCATATTGATGCTGTGATATAATTAACTTACACAGCATTGGTATTCTGTAGCAAATGTGGCACATAGGATGTTCTTCTGCACACAAAATGTTGGCTCATCTTTCAAAGGTACTTCCCCACCTATAAAGAGTGCTAATTCATGAGCAACATCTATGGTAAAACTGTTTAATTTCTCATGTTTCAGTTTGTTCATCAGTCTGGAAAAATAAGAGCTTTGTTGCAGTACTTTTGAAAATATTATTATAATAGAATAGAAAAAGAATAGGATTTGGTTAGAGTTGGGGAGGAATAATGATAGGCATAAGAAGAATATGGAAACATTGCAACTTACCTCTGAATTAGTGGTATTGACATTGCCACACCTGAGGCAATAACTGGGTATTTAAAAGATTTTGGATTCTCATGGAAGGCAAAATGGTGAATGATAGTTGCTTCATTATCATGCACTGAATGACCGATCCAAGTTTCCTTGAATAAAATGACATTTGACAGTAAGCATTTAAACATCAAAGGAATGTACCTATATAAACAGCCTCTCACAATAAGCAAATAATTTTATGGGAACTTGAAGGATAATATTAGAGAATACTATTTCTCAAAATTCTGACATGTAGATTTAACTGGATTTTCAACATGACAGCAGCATCCCTCCTTCAAAAACATTTGACTTACAATCAGATCTTTCCAACAATGAAGTTCTGGCTATGCAGTCACCTATACAAATGAATGATATTATGTTATCTAGCACTGCAGTTTGTTATAGTTATATATTATAAAGAACCGATTTAGTAACAGTTTTATGTTGTGATCTCATACCTGTTTATGATTATATTTCTCCAAAGCCATAACAAGCTTTCGAGTATCCACTGCAGTATAGTCTTCTAAGAAAATTATCCATTTGGCAGTATCACTGTGCAATTTATCTAAAATTGGTAAAAGAGGTAGTATGGTCCAGCTTGAAATACTGTTAAACTCCTCATGACACAAGTGTATCTCTGGTCTAGCCTAAAAAAATATTTAGTGGGTTCAGCGGACATCAAACAGTCTAGCAATGCAGAACTTCTATGCTGAATGCAGTAGCCATGGGATAACTTTGTCAGTTTGACAGCAGTTTTCACTTGGCTGTCAGATTTTAAAAGAACTGACAAAGCTATTCCATGGCAATTTGTATTGGCTGAACACACTCATTGAATGTATTCAATAAAATGTAAATATCATTCCTAAGTATTCAATATTTATTGGCTATATATTTTTTAAATATTATTGGTTACTACTTTAAAAAACAATTTTACAAAACCTCTTTTAAATACTTGTGGATTGAAGGCACCTTTGTTCAGTAAATTACATTTTTTATTTTTAAACTACATTTACAAAATGTTCCCCTCATATAAGGTATACCCTCCCCCACCCAATACTACCCCCAACTTCCAACTTTTAACCCCTCTAATTTTTTGTGAAACCTCAAAAAACGAGGTTTTTACGATTTCTATTTTTTTTTCCTTTTCTGCCCGATGTCCCACCGATTTTCAAAAACTGTAAATGAATGTTCTCCTGAAAACACCAACAGTGTAACTTGAACTAGGATGGTAAAAGAAAGTATCATAACTTACATGATAATGAGTTTTCATCTGGTTTATCAAATCTTCCTTCAAAATTTCAGCTCTCTGAGCATGAACCTTATCATTCTGACTCAATATTACAAAAACTATAGAGCTTACATCTAAAAATATAAATATATTTAAACAGAGCATACTGTCAATCTATTGTGTTGGAAAGCACTTACCCAAGGTGGTAGTTAATCCGATAAAACAGAATGTAATTAGTAAATACAACATGCTCCTGAGCTTTTTCATTCCAACCTATGGCTTTTCAATGCTTTATTCCACAAATTATTATTATGAAACGTTTTAGTAGGGTAGTTTCAAAATTATGAACTAGGTATACATAAAACTCAAACCTCTAAACCACATGTACTGTTTTTTATTTATTAGGCACCAATGAAGCTTATTTGTTATATTTATCTTGTTTTATCAACATTCCCCGGCAAACAAAAATAAAAACAATCTACAAAAACAAAATATGACATTTCTGTCAGGATAGTAAATACAGAACCAGGCAACCAGTTATACGACCATGTGCTTACTTGGTTTCATAACATGAGTAACCATCACGAATTTTAAACTTCAAAATTTGACGTAACATGTAACCTCTTATCTACCCCAAAATAATGTAACTTGTATATTTGCAGGATTATTGCTAATTAACCCCATTCGCGATGTACCTAACTAGATGACGAAATCTGTCTACATTTCACATAACTCTACTACCTCATACTTGGCATTTTTTAACAAAAAACGTAACCTCAACCTGCGATGCTAAAGTTTGTAGGGAGCTTTTGTAAGCTCTGCAACAAGTCGCGTTTTTCTCAATTTTCAAAGCGTGTCATATCAACGACACCTCCAAAATCTAATCCAGCAGGACAAGGCTTATCTGTGATTTTCGGAAAGTATTTACTATTAACTAATACCATAAGTTCTGGGGGCCTTTTATTATTGGGAGATGTCTGTCAACAAGAGATTGAGTACCAGAGGAACCAGTTGCCTGAACGGTACGACTATGGGCGGATGGGTAAGTAGAAACAATTCAATATTTACATATTAAGACTGTCGTGTACACCATCAATAACACCTAAATACGTGCTACAATCATCAACATTTTGAAGATCAAACAGAGCTGCAACACAGATTTTTTAGTCTTTTTTGGTACAGCATATATGATACAGTACAGCAGAAAAATTTCCTGAAAAATCATGCTGAATTTATGGTTGAATTATGATGACCTTGAGAGCCCGGCACATGCCGCGAGGTACTGCCACAGACAATTGTGTCGCGTGACTGATGCTGAGTAATTGTCCACAGTACAATCTACGAAAATTGAAATTTTGCCTTTTGTTACTTAAGGGGCAGGGGCTGTATAGGGATGACTGACGATGCTGATTGATCATATAAGCAATTTGAGATTAGAAAAAAATTTGTATTTCAAACATACCTTCCATGTTTATCACTAAACTAAATCCTGTAATATTCTATGTAAAGACAAAAAAGTTGAATAGCTATGTGTTGACATTCAGGTTTTGAGAATAATTTCTGTTTTCATAAAGTTATCAATGACACTTGTAGCTGGTGCTATGATAGAGAGCAAATAGGTACATCAACGATTGGTGAAATCAACATTTTGAGTTTCAAAAAAAGCATAGTGTCCTGGAAGTTAAATCTATGTGATAATTTACAGGTTTTGAGAATAATTCCTCTTTTTAAGTTTTAAGAGAAAATGTAATGAAATCTATGATGTGTGAAGTATGTCTAATCGGTGCATACAATTAGAGAGCTTGGGAGGGTACAAATATGCTAACATGTGTTGTGAAGGTTAGGTTCCGGTCAGAACCCGCTGTGGCGGCAGAAACTCGCCCAGGCCACAGTTACCCTTGGAGAGATGTTTGATTCGCTGACGCGAATGCGTCGGCTGTCTGCTCATCGATAACCGAAATTATACACGTTGGAATGGAGGAATATATCCCTCATACAGTGAAAGTGCTTAAACCAGGATTCAACGACTGGTTCAACAAATTGTTCGACACAGATAAGCCGACGTCGAGTTCGGAAACAAATATAACGAAGTGGTCTGCAATGCCAAAAACCAGCACAATATAAATGTTTAAAATAGGGTAATTTCGCAGCGCAATGGCAGTCGGTCTTTCTGGACAGATTGAAAGGAACTTTTCACAATCGTTCCATCCCTTACGTGTCATCATGGAACAATTGTAATCGGTTCCCTACACTATGCGGGAAGTAACATTCAGGCATAAGACCGTAAGACGGGTGCTCTTGTCGCTCGGCGTCAACAAACCTTCAGGTCCGGACTTGATTCCTGTCGTTGTATTGAAGAGGTATGCAGCGGAGATAGCTCCGGTTCTTTCGCGTCTCTTCCAGATATTTTGCGAATCCGGCACCTTTCCAGAGAACTGGAAAAAGCAATTTTTACCCTGCTTGGTAGGCTAACAAATAGCGAACTTTCTATTGTCGCATACTGTACATTCTCATTTCCAGCCAAAGTCAAAGTGCGTTGCCCAGTTGCTTTGCAAAGTAAGAGACATTCGCGCTATGCGACGCGCGAACCACTCATATCGTCAGGAATTGCTATATTCGATATGCTGTCTATTTGACGTCCACAATATACAGTTTTCACTTCTTCATTTCAGCTCGAATGTTCGTGGTAGGACTAGCCCTAGGACCTGTTCACCACTACTATTATCTATGGATAGCAAAAAAGTGGCCAGCAAGGACTGGCAAAATAGTATGCTGGAAAATATTTTTAGATCAAGTTGTGATGTCGCCTTTATGCATAGCAGGATTTTTCTATGGTATGGGAATGCTAGAAAGAAAAGACTTGAGGCAGAGCACAGAAGAATTGGTTAACAAGTTTAAAGAAGTTTATTTGGTAAGAAAATATATTGATAATTTTTGATACCTTAACAAAAATTATAATATTGTAACCAAGCTTGGTAATAAATTTCTGTTTATTCAAAATGAATTTGCAGTGAACAGCAAATAGACTTGTGTCACAGTTCCTCTATGTCATAAAGAAATATAGTGAAGTATCTTGAAAAACCTAAAGTTTACCTAAGAGCAAAAAATGATGTCTTGCTTCAATTTGTATTATTTAGTCTATTTGACAAAACAGTACATCAAAAGCTATTTGTCTATGTGCTAATTGGGATAATATTTACTTTAAAACTGGAAAAATAGATAAAAATACAAAATATTGTATAATCTATTTTATTTTTCAGATTGACTGGATTGTTTGGCCTCCAACACAATTTCTGAACTTCTACTACCTTCCAGTGAAGTATCAAGTGTTATACATCAATGCTGTAACAATGTTATACAATATATTTTTATCATACATCAAACATAGAGAAGTTGCTGCAGAATATCAACATCAAATTCATTTCAAGAGGCATGTGAAACCTGACTAGTCATATTTGTTTTTTATCTTCTGAACATGATGTAATAAATATTTTTGTTTTTTTTATTTTGTTTGACTTAATAATAGGCCTCCTACGAACAATTTTGTCTCTGCGAGAGTCAGTGTGGAATTTGACAGAAAATTTCAGCCACATGGCGTCTCACATTTTTTTCATAAAACAAGGACAGCATTTTCAAAGGACCGGCCAAGCTCAAATGAATACGGGGTAATGCGAATTGGTCTCTCTGGACGCTGGCCAAGCAGATTGAGTTGAACTTTTCAATACCTTCCACCGCTTACATACCAGGGACTCTAATATGGACGTCTCCTCCAGCGCCCAAGGCCCGGCGATTCCACTTACACATCTTCAGCCGAGTTCTTTCACCTCTCTTTCAGATATTTGACGAATACTCTCCCAAAGGATTTGATGTTTGTTCATATTCAGCTTGTCTCAAAAACAAGGCCCACAACCGATTATAATAAGGCTATGGGTCTACTTTCCATGGTCAGCAAGATGATGGAGAAGTGTATCAGTGGACCAACGATCAACGAAGGACTCTCTAACTTACATCATGCAACTGTGGAGAAATCTGATCTAGTCATATGCTTAGGCTCAGGTCAGTGCTCGTGACATCACGAAAACTTTCGATTAGCTCTGGCATTTTGTCTTCTTATGCAAAGTTCTGTGCTATTGCCTCCCAGGAGAACTTTTTATAGATGGGCGGCTGACTTTCCTTCCAGTCGAAAAATATCCTTTGTCAATGAGTCTTTCGTATCATTGCACAATTTTAACGTGTCCCCAGGGAGCGGTCTTGGCTCCAACACTGTTTCCATTATCCGAGTATTCAACGACTTCCTCTAATGTACCATCAATCCGATCCACATCTTTGCTGATAACAGCAGGCTACACACAAATATTCTGTGTGATAAGTTTGCAGTGATAAGCCGTTCTCTGCTGATTAGGCGAAGAGAAAAAGACTAGTAGCGTCGTCCTATATGACGATAAATTTGGAAGTTATTACCGCTTGGGGACACATCATTCTGGTACCGTTTAATGTTTCCAAAATACAGTCCTGTATTGTATTGTATGTTTTGTATTTTGATAGCTACACATCTCGTCAACTGCGACTGCTGCTGATGGATACCTACCTAGATAACGAAGTTACTATTTAATAGATAATTATAGTTTTATTAAATATTTGGATGGACCTACGTACTTCTGGATATTGGAATTAGAATGACGTCACGTTACTTGTTCTGTTTCTCTCATCAAGCTCTTTAATCTGATACTTATAGGTGCGCCATCTATTACTTTCTTTACCTATAAGTTTATGTGTCACCATGTGAGTCAAAAGTCATGTGATATGCATAAATAAACTGTCAAAGGTATGCCAATATGCCATTTATAGTCATGGATTCGTTTACAACACAACAACGCATTCTGGTTATCCAAACTTATTACGAAAACGGTCGAAATATAAAAAATACTTTTCGCAAACTTCGCACTAGTTTTAGCCGACATGGAAGCCCTACAGAGCCTGGAATTCGTTGGATTGTTAATCGTTTTGAGGAAAATGGTTCAGCTGAAGGTCGTAGACCATACCAACATGCTCGTCCAGCTCGTACTCTTGAAAACATGGCCGCAGTGAGTGAAAGTGTGCGGGATCCAACCACCTCGACTAGGCACCGTTCGCAACAATTGGGAATTAGTGAGACCACTTTACGCCGGATTTTACACATTCATTTACATCTCCATCCATACAAAATCCAACTAACATAAGGATCGAAGCCGACAGACCATCAACATGCGGCGTGTTTTTAACTGGATGCTGGAAAGAGAAGATGGATTTTCGGCCAAAGTTCTCTTTTCTGATGAGGCTCATTTTCACCTCAATCGGTAAGTAAATAAGCAAAATTGCTGACTCTGGGGGGCTGAAAATCCACACCAATATCATGAACAACCTCTCAATCCTGAACAAGTGACTGTTTGGTGCGTATTATGGGCTAGTGGCATCGTTGGACCATTCTTCTTTGAAGATGCCGAAGAAAAGGCCATTACCGTCAACGGGGAACGTTATCGGGGCACAATTCGATCGTATTGGTGCCGACGATCTTTGGTTTCATCAAGACGGAGCAACGGCTCACACATCTCGCCAAATAATCGCCTTATTGCACACTAAATTTCAAGACCGCATAATTTCACGAAATTCAGATGTCAGTTGGCCCCCGAGATCGTGCGATTTAACTCCTCTTGACTATTTTCTTTGGGGATTTTTGAAAGAAAATGTGTATGCGAATGGTCCCGGACAATTCAAGACCTACAGCACAATATTCGGACTGAAATTGTCGCCATAGACCTGATTATTCTGGGAAAAGTCATTGAAAATTTTGATGGCATAAACCAACCTTCATTTATCAATAAAAAAATTCGATTTCACCTCGTAAAAAGCTTGTTGATTTTTCAAATAGAAAAAAGTAATAGATGACGCACCCTGTATTATCTATGATAACTATAAACGTCATCTTGTGGCTGTCGCCATATTGGATTGAGAATGACCTCACTGTGCTTATCACGTTTCTCTCATCAAGTCCTTTCATGTAATGCCAATCTCATAGGGGTGACTATATGAAAAACGTAAATCGCCATATCGAATTTAGAATGACGTCATCAAGCTCTTTTATTTGATACCCATATCATAGAGGAAAATGGAAATGATGAATCGCCACTTTGTACCATTCGCTGTATTGGATGCAAAATGGCGGCAGTTAATTCATTTTATATTGTCACACTAAAGGGGTTGTATAAAATTTCAGCTCAACTGGTTCGAAATTTAGTTCCAACATTTGTCCCACACATAGGTGCACTAACAAACAAGTCAAGTTACATAAAAGCTTGTAAAAAAGCTTTTCAAATATCCAAAAGCTATTCTCCATAAGGTTTCTGGGAGGATTTTCCAAATACATGATTTTACGTGAACAATTGTCGTATCTGTTGGGAAGGGAATGATCTAGCATGTCCATTCAGATCTAAGAAATACCTAGATTTACTTTAGATTATGAAGCTTTTCCGATCATGCTATAAGCTTCATCAGTACAAAACTAGTGTCTTATTTATGCATTTCTTAACACATATAGCCGGCGCCAAAAAAATATTCGAGATGAAGTGAAATATCCTGGCGTCATCTATGAGAATTTGTCACAGCTATATGTTTCTCCTATCTGCAATAATTAGAAATCTACTTTGAAAAAGCTGATGTCTCATAGATGGCTCTGTAGCCAAGGAGGCGTGGCCGCTGGATACTTAAGCAGCGCTTCTGTGAGCAAATATGACATTATGACAATTGTCTAGCAAAATAATTCTCACAACAAAACAAGCAATATATACCATTTTCTTGAAAAACATGACTGATTTGGGCGTCCAGGGGAGACGCACCCTTGGCTCGCCCCTCTAAATGCGCCACTGACTTTGCATTCGGGACTGCTTCCGTATGGCAACTTGTCTATTCGAATACAGTTAACATCCGTCGATAATGAGATTTCTACAAATATTTTGCATACTCCAGTACCTGATCTATAAGCACATCTTCCTGCAACCTGCAACGAGACTGACCGGTATAACGATCCTTTTTTGTTTTTTCTTGTTTCTTCCAGCTCGATTGGCTTCCTTGATGGATGAACGTCGGCGTGCATCTCTTGTTTTTTAACCCACTCGCTCTGATGGATGACGAAGGGGCAGTATTTAAGATCTTTCGTGCTGAGAAGATGAGAACATATACAGGAACCAGTTGATAGGTACCTACCGCTAATGTCTTCGTGGCCAAGAAGAAGGTAGTCAGTGTCAGGTGGACTTTTTCGTGAGAATCGTGAGGTCAATGTAACTACCACTGGCGTATGCACAAGAAAAATTTGCATAGGGGACACAGATTTCCGAAGATGGAATCTGGAATTTCAGGTACAAGGAAACTTTCTAGATTTATGCGTTTTAAGCTAGTTCCAACAATGATTCTTATTTTATTAAGAAAGAAGTACAACCATCCAAACAAATTAGTGTCATGGTATTGCCGCGCGGTTACGTAACAAAATGATTGCCATTGCCATTGTCTGGAAAACTCTCTATTAGGGAGAATCTTTACGTATGTTATGCATTGACACAAGGTGAAACTCTGCAACCCCAACACCACATACGGAACATTTTTGCAGATCTTTACATAATATTAGATGCGATTCAGATTGAATACGAACAAAGTCAAAATAAAGTTTTTAGAGATCCAAAGATAGATGTTGTTGATCCGATATAGCACTAACTTTAGGAGAACTTGATAGAACTAGCGAAAGCCTGCTTTCCTGTCAGATAGTTCCACTATCTTGACACTCCATCAGCGGTGGTATTTTGCATCTGCATAGCCGGCTGGAACTACGGTGTTCAGCAACCGACTAATTCTCTATATGCAAAGCTCGACAGAGTTAGGAAAAGAAGCGAAAACGTAGTGGATCAGTTTTATGGACCTTGAATGAGCAAGCATCACAGAGAAACAAAGTTGGTCAATATAAGAGAGCTTCTCTTTAATGGTGAGATGGAGATGCCGCCATTCTGTTCGATAGCCCTCCTGTAAACAGTGTAGCTGGAAGAGCAGCACCTCAGATAGTGTCAATAGTATTTCAGGCTGGGTCTTATCTGGAACTTGTACAGACTGAGGCATGTACCAAATTATGTCCTCAATGATACGAGCTTCAATAAACTTGAACTTGAACCTCCATCAAAATCAGATGTGTATTTGCGTTATTAGTTAAGGAATGATGTCCATGCGAACTGTCCTTTCCGAGGTTTACTTTGGAATTACGAGTAACAGAATGGAATACCGTTGTGTAGGGTTACCAAACCGACGTCATTCAGTTTTTGTATTGAACTTCTAGTCTAGTCTGGTCTCTAGATCAGTGTTTTGTAAAACTAATGTCCCCTCGTACAGGACGTGATTCTTCACCATGCATATTGATCTTGGTCACCTAAGCCACATATAAAGCTCAAAATATAAAATATACACACGCCTTTTAACATCTAGAATGGAAATGATAACAACATTGATTCAGGTCTTGTTTTGATCGTGTTTTCCCAGTTCAACAAAACATTGAAAGAAGAAGGGAGCAAAACCAACTTACATGGCATTTGAAAGTTCTATGAAGGCTTTCGATCAAGTCATAAGAACAATTCCTGACCATCTTATAAAAAAAGTATTTACAGACGCACCGCAATAATTTTGGACAGCAGGGATTAAGACGACGATGTAGAACAGATTTACATATATCAAGGGGATCGTCAAGGCCGCAGTCTGTCTCCGATTTTATATTGATATAATTAGACGGACAGAGATCCCACCTAAAGGAATTCAAATACACCCTAGAAGATCAGAAGAAACTTTCCTGTCAGATGATTATTGCTTCCTCTAAAGAGAATGTCCAAATTGATATATGTATCTACTGAACAATGAGCCGTATTCATAAAAGAGAAGCATAGCCTCGGAAGCATAAAGTTAAAGTATAAGGTCTTGCTTAGGAGAAAAAGGTAGAAGTATAAGCATATCCTTGTTTTCATATTCATAATGATTACCTTATACTCGCGAGGATATCCTCCAAGAAAAAGTAAAAGGTTGACTTGTATTTGTATCTTGAGCGACATGTCCTGACTTGTTCCAGCTTGTAGTTGATGTGGGAGTTCGTTCACTCAGCATCACTGACAGTTGTACTCCAGAGCTTACACGGACCGTTCCGTATTTTTACTGGATACAGTTTTTTATCAAATTAATAAGCATATCATCCTCAAGTGATGAAGAAACTATAGAAAATAATGGCAACGACCTGCAGCTCATCGCAGATGAAATTGCCATTGCTCCCATTATTTTGCAAAAGACACAAGTTCCAAAAATAAAAATGAGAAAGGACGATGCCTTGAAGAAGATGTTGAAAAAATACGAATCAACATTCGGTAAACCATGAGATACTAAAGGCTTGTTAAAAAAATCAACAATATGAAATCGAGATTGAAGAAAAAACAGATCTAAAAAAAACTGGTAATAGAGCAATTAAATTGTTAGATTGGGAAAGAAAGTTGCTAAAAGCTATGGAAGGTGGCTGTAATCCTACAATTGGGAAAATTAGAGGTGCTATTCAGGTTGGTAGTGTTCAAGAAGAAGGAAGTGAACTATATACCGAGCGCAGTGAGCAAACAGTTAGTATTACAGCGCCAGCAATTCAGAAGACATTGCCACCAAAAAGAAAATTAGCAACAGAGAAATACGAAACTGAGGAAACCAATAGGTTAACTACAAAAGAACTGCAACATCTAGTGCTATGACAGCAATAACAAAGAAGTATTTTACAACAAGAGTATTATAAAACGAAATTAGAAATGATGCAGCGTCAGAAGCCACCTGTAACTTATGATGTTCACGAAAATAAAACTTATTATAACTTATAAATACACATTATTCAGTAAAACTATTTATTATAATACTCAAGTTTCTTCTTATTTATTGACCTAGTTGGCGGAGAGGAAGTACGTCATTCTCATGATTTTCTTCATCTTCATCTGGGTGTTGTTCAACTAACTCAAAGTCAGGATCGCCCAAGCTCTTCGCAACATTATGGAGTACAATATAAGCAATAATTATTTTCGGCACATTTTCCAACTTACGCGACAAACATACTGTAGGATAGGAAACCGGCGTTTCAGTTGGCCGAAACAGCGTTCAATTATAACTCTTTCTTGTTTTAAAAGCTTATTATAATTTATTTCTGCACCTGAAGTAGGATTTCTGAATGGAGTCATAAGGCATGGCTCAATACCATAACCGGCATCGCCAAGTAGTACAACATTTGCTTTATTTATTAGTTGTGATCTAGTCTGTGAATTGCTCCATATTCTGGAATCATGCACTGATCCATGCCAACTGACATCAACACTTGTGAACATCTCTCTGGCATCACAAGTGGCTTGCACATTTAAAGTAGGTTTCCTTTTTCGGTTGATATACTCATCTCCATGGCAATTTGGTTTTAGGATTCCTGTATATGTAGAATCAATTACACCAATTGCTGTCGGAGATTTATACATGCCTTGCCATATCCGCTTGGTCTCCATCAGTTCATGATTGGTAGTTGGAAACTTGATCCATTCGTTCGACTGTGCAACTATGCTATTCACACCTCTATCCACAGTCCGAGATACCGTTGCTTGACTAACACCAAGTTCCTGACCAATACCTTGTTGATATCCAAGGTCACCGAGATAGCGTATCTTCATTTTATGAATACATGAAAGTGCTCCTCCTCGAGTTTCCTCATTCTCAACTAAAAATCTGTCCGCAAGCCACTGTACATTTGCTTCGTCGAACCGATATAATTTTTTGAAGTCACGACCAACTGAAGGTAAACGAAGTTTGTACGTTTTAACATCCCTAACATCCACATCATCGTTTGACCATCTTTCGTTACAAAGATGAGTCTGCTAATGACCACACTCAGAATTTTTGAAGGATATGCTTCCTGTGCCAAGTATAAGGTGAAGATTATGAATATCCTTTTACTTATGTCACTGCTTCATTCAAAAAGCAAAAGCATTACTTCAAATTATTATAAATACCATCTGGAGGATTTCCTTCAAAATTTGCAAGTACATGGATATCCTTTGTTTTATGAATACGGCTCAATATCACTACGAAGTTTAACTGTGACATTTGACGCCCAAAACAAGTCATGGCTTCCATAAGAAATGAAGCAGTGAGAGCAAAAAGATGTGTAAAAAGCGCAACCCTAATCTGATATACTGAGTGACAAAAAAGGTAAACAAATACGTATGTTTATTAGAATTCAAGATTTTTTTACATATCTATCGATTTATCTTGCCATGAACAACAAGTGATAAAATGGTCAGGTTTTTCTGTTTTTGTGGTGGCTGCCTGTATTGTTTGGTGATAAAGAAGCATTCAGTTTTCGTACATTAACGGTGTCAGTTAAATGTTAAGTTTCGTGTAGGTTATTGAAAAGCCTTTTTGTGATTGCTCAAAATGCCTAGCGTGCGTAGAATTCACCGGGTGTCCCAGCTAAGTGACTTTGATAGGGGTCGAATTGTTGGGTTGCGTGAAGCCGGTCTATCGATAAGAGGAGTTTCTAGGAGGACCAACAGATGCGTATGAAGTATACTGCAGTATGAGCGAGCGTGAGCTCAGGAAGGCCAAGGACATCGAGACGTTCTAGACGTCCCAGGGGGAACACAGAGCGACAAGACCGCCAGTTAAGACTTGTGGCACCACTAATTTACATCAGAGGCAACTGATTTGGAATTTGGTAGTTATGGCCGAATATATGAATATTCGTGTAAAAAAAAGTATACGGTGTACGTAAAGAGTGCCGAAACAATGATTTCCGATGTGGAGTGGTTAGCGCATTATTTTTTGGCTGACAGCGGTGAAAAGCGAGGAGGAGCATTATCAGCTGTGAATAAGACGAAAATTTTTCTGCGTCAGTTGTCAGACCCTGGCTTTCAAAATGCCGTTGCTGAAGAGCTTGGTGGTTGTAAAACATATACTTCCGTCCTGAACGCCGTTTTGGAGAAGGCCAACATTTGGATTAAGTTCCCCAAAAGTGCTGAAGACTTTATGGATGCTAAACAACTGTGGTCGGAGAGATACCGTTTCTCAAATTCTATCGGCGCAATAGATTGTACGCATGTCAGGATTCCAAAGTTTGCTGAATTCGGTGACGAATATATAAACAGGAAATGATAGCCTAGCATCAACATACAGGCAACTTGCAATGCCAAACAAATATTTACAAGTGTAGACTGTCAATGGCCAGGCTCTGTACATGACAGCCGAATATTTAAAAATTCCAATATATTCAACATTCTTAAAAACAGCACCGAAGAATGTGTATTATTAGGGGATGATGGCTATTCTATATCCCCTTGGATTATGACTCCCTGGAGAAATCCAACAACCCCAGAACAGCAAAATTATAATAACGTTTTTTGTCGAGAACGAGTAATAATTGACCGATGCTTTGGGCAATTAAAAGCAAGATTTCCTGTCCTACAGTATAAAATCCGGAATAAATTAGAAAAAATGCCATCGACAATAATTTCCTGCGTTGTTCTTCATAACATAGCTAAATGTTTAAATGATGAAGATTTTGATTACGTGCATCATGAAGCTGATGCTGAAATTAACTTAGACACTGTCAATTTAACTACAAATTTAATTCGTCAATTAGGATAACAAAAAAGGCAAATAGTGACTGAAATTATCATGTAAGTAACGACTGGTACTTATATTACGTGTAGGTACACAATTAAAACAAATCAGAAATACTATACCGTTATTAAACAAATGGAAACAGAACAATATAATTCTTAGGTACCTATATTCAACTTAAATTCAGATTTTATTAGTTTTTGATACGCGATGTAAACCCAAATTAAAAATTAAATCCTAAATTAAATAATTAATAATAATTACAAGTTGTAATACATTTTTCCTCCGAAAAAGTACTGTTTGGCATAAAGTTACCATCACCTTGCTTCTGTCTCTTAATGATTTCTTCTTGTTGCATTCGACATAATTTCAACTGCTCTAATAGAACTAATCGCTGCAACTCAGCAGTTGATAATTTTTGGGTTTCTTCAATTTCTGGTAAATGTGACATCTTAATTTTCTTTGCAGGAATAGTAATTTCTTTTGCACTTGAGGGGGCCAGAGTGTCACTGATGGCCGAGGTGGAGGATTCAGCAAGTGTTATGCTTTCGTTGGCTCCAACAGAGACAGCACCTGAATGATTTATTTTGATGTTTAAAAAAACCTACGATACAAGAAAGTTTAATTTGCTTTACCTGGTATTTCTTTGAAGATGGGATTCTTATGCACTTCAAACATTTCCATTAACAACTTTTTCCAAGACTTATAGATTATAGCTTTATTGCCTGTCTTATTAATATCAAATTTCTTCTTTATTTCGGTCTTCATATTACTTATTTTTTTTGTTAACTGCTTTGTTGTAAGTGTCACGTTAAAAATATCTTTATATTGTACTAAAATTTTTAAAGCGGCCTCCTTTTCTATTTTAACTTGTGAAACTTGCGATTTATTATGAACGATTTTATGTTCTTTTAATTTATGCACAAATAACAACTGCTTATCCATTTCTTCCTCATCATGGGATTCGTCTCTTCCACTTGAATCAGCCATAATTTTCACTGCCTTTTTTTATTTTTTACTGAAAAATATGTTTCTAATCCCACCTACTAAGTTATGCCGAATGTAAGAAACTCGGAACTGAACTGAAATAAATGCGCGTATCGACTCCTAAACATACTTGCAAGTTTAAACTCGCTGAACACATACATATATAAGCAATTGCTTTTAAGATTTGGGAAATGCAGCATTTGCTTAAAAATATTATTCATTGCAAAATTTAGAAATTGCTTTTTCTTACAGCAATTGCTAGTTAAGCAATTGCTTTTGCTAAAAAGTAATTGCTTAGTTTTTATTCATTAGGCTCATTGAGTGTATAAGAAATCGTGGATCCTCAACACATTATTCAACCAGCTTCTGTGGTCACTTGACGAATCAAGCTGAAAATCTAATCATTTTACTGATACAGATCATACTAAATACGCCAAACATTATTAAAATCTGATAAACATACGTAGGTGTTCACCTTTTTTTGTATATGGATATTCAAATATCTCGATTGTGATGAAGAATATACGGAAATCATAACGGCAATGACAAAAAAACTGACGGCTTACACTGCGGCAAAATAAGAGTAAATCTAAACCAGTGCAGACCTGCAGACGAAATACTCAACTAAAATTTTACAGAGTAATAGCTGTGCTTACGCTGCTGTATGACTGTAGAGCCTGGATTACTGAAAACGCGACAAAAGTCGCTTAAATTTGGCCAAAATAACATTTTTGCACTCGGGAAGGTCATGTCCGCAATGTTGTCATCAAAGAGTAGCTACAGATTTTTGCAAATAATGACAAAATAAGAGACTCGACAGGAATGGCACGACCACGTCCAAAGAACTGAAAATGGACGTATTCCTAACATTTGGCTCTTTAAATATAAGCCAAAAGGACGAAGATGCGTATGTCGTCCGAGAATGAAGTGAACTGTTGAATAGGAACAGTCTTTGGCGTAATCCTTTAAGTTGATGATGATATTATGTACCAGATCACTGCCTATAACCTCCAGCACTTAAGTCAGATAGGTAATCACTACCAGTCTTCTTCTCCCCAGTTCAACAAATACATTCTCTCAATATGTCTCCTGACTTCATATTTGACCGAAGAATCGGCGATAGAAGATACCAATTCCAAGACATCATGACCATAAGCGATCTAAACAATGCCTCCAGATTCCTCTCTCCAACCGACTTCATAAAAAGTACAAATTGCTTGTCATTAAATGAACTGATAGATTTGTTACTGCTCCCGTGAGTCGAAATATGCGACCGGTCTGAAGTACATCTGGTACCAGAAGAAGCCACATTCACATACGTGGACGCGACGTGATTATCTGATCTCTTTTAGAACGATTCAAGTTTGTACCAGAAAAACTTATCGAGCTGTATAAGGAATGCATTATCACTAAAGACGGCCGCTGTATACGGTACTATAGCACTACCACTAACTCATTTGCGAAGCGGTACTTATGGTCAGTAGCGTGGAGATTAATTGCTATAGCAGGGGAGAGAAGAAAACCCCTATGGTGCGGTGTGCATAACAAATTGTGTTTCAATTTTCAATAGAAAAGGAGAGATATCTAACTCATTGGAAGGTGATTTTAATCCAATGAGATATGAGGTTCACAGCCAAATTAAGGGAATCCAAGAACATCCCAGGTAACTTCTGAAATGATGATGTTCTATCCTAGTGGGAGGAGATCCAATGCAATCGAAGATTTTCTATGCCATGTGGACGGATCAAAGGCAATTCAAATACACTTTCTAATCCAAGCGGATCCGCGATAACAATGTCCCCTAGACGCCCAAGTTTGCAATTTTCTTCAAGAAAATGGTATATGTATAGTCAACGCCAAACAAAGTGGCGTGCACGTCATCAAGGTGGGTGTGTTGAAAAATTTACATTGTTGCCAAACTTTTTGTAAAATAATAAAATTTATTATTTACATATCTAGGTTTATAAGCAATATTAACCTCAAATGAGAACAAAAATAATAGTATAATAAAATTATAGATCTGTACTTGCATAATCATTAAGTATGACAATTATTGATCAGATGACACTATGAAACTACCATATTTAATTGATGGCTTAAAGGTACTGAATAACAATCCAAATGGGGTCCTCCAAATTTTATGCATGGTATTTATTTTACAGAATTCATACAGAAAAATGCATTCTAAAATTAGGTAAGCTACTGGTGTAAGCTTTTTCTGTACAATAAAGTTAGTCGGAGTTTCTTTCTTCAGCGCTGTCTGAATCTGAATCTTCATCACTCTCAAAGTTGATTATTAAAGGTTCGATGTCTGGTCGATCAAAAATTCGTTCTCTTTCATACCATTTAAAAATTTCTTGCTCAGTATGTCGAACACTATTTTTCCACATGTCTGGGGTAACCGTTTGTAGAGCCTCGTTCCACATATCCAAACAGTCTTTTTCACTGTTACCATCTCTACCAATATGTCTGTTATAGTAACCTTTTGCTATGCCCCAAATTAACTCAATAGGGTTAAATATACAATGGTAAGGAGGCAGACGAAGAACTTTGTGCCCATGTTGTTCCGCCAATTCATCAATCACGTATATTTTAGGTGGTTTGTTTCTAAAAAAGCAGTTATTTTAAGAATAGGAATAAACAAAAGAAATATAAACTGTCGACCAAAATATATATAATTAAGAAGCATTATGTACCGAGCAACAATACTCAATAGCTCTGTTTTAAACATTGTGTTTAAAAATGGTATGTTTTGATTTGTCAACCAGTTTTGGATATTTTTTTTTGTCCATGCATTGTTGGGCACTTTGTTCAATATCATGCTGTGATAAGGGGCGTTATCCAGTATAATCATAGATGGACTCTCCAATTTTTCTAATAACTGATGTTGAAACCATTTCAAAAAATTGTCCTGGTTCATCTCTCCATGGTAATCGCTCAATTTTGTTTTTGAAGAAAATATCGCTTCACTACCCTCAATAAACCCATTTTCATTTCCAGCATGTAATATAATGTATCTAAAATATATTAGTTTTAAATTTTATAGTGCAAATTGTGTAAAAGTACATACCTTTTACCATCTGTTTTAATAGCTTTCACGCTTTTTTGGTTTCCATTTTGAAAAGAGCGACCTATGGTCCCATTTTGAAATATCCAAGTTTCATCGAGGAAGACAAACTGGTATAAGGCCTCAACCTTGGCTTGATTGTATTGCCTTAGAAATTCCACCCTTTTCAAAGCTATACTTGGTAGTTCCATGAGCCCTCGTCGCGGATTGTCCTTAAGCCACTTAAATCCAAGATCTCTAAGCAACCGCCTTAAAGACGTGGCACTACCATCAAATAATGCCCTATCTCTTAATCGAGACCATAAAGTTTGTATCGTAACTTGTTCTTCTGAAACCATGTGTAATATGACATTATAATTTAGTTAACAAATTAATGCAAATTTCTGATAAGTTATTATAATAAGATCTTACTTTTGTGATACATATTATAGATCACTTCTCGAATGGCACTTGTATCCAAAGTCGCTGTGTTGGTTACACGTTTAATATAACTCCGCTTTTTCTTGGGCGATTCTAAATTTGCATCACTTTTCACACCCTCGGAAATACGACTAACTGTCCTTAAACTAATTTTTAAAGCAGCAGCAACACGCTACAAAAAATGAAATAAAATTTCACTATTATTAATATACATTACATATAATTATTAGTAACCTACCTCTTGAACAGCATTTAAAGGCAACAAAGGCCCGTTGTTGTCCCTTTCTTGCTCAAAGTAGTGCATTAACGAGGCCACGAGTTCCTTACACCGACTATTTAACTGTTTGGGCATCTTTATATACCAAAATTGCCTTTATCTACTCGTAAAATGAATAATTTTGTTTTGAAACAAACAGTTGTTGATTTACAGTATGCGGGGCCAAAGGATTTATAAAGATTTGAAATGCCACAAATTGATTCAGTGTCAAAATTAATACAAATGTCAGTTCCCAGTTTAAATAAGTTTCAAGGTGACAATGTGTCAACGCTGCGAAATCGGTTTAGTGCGTTTACATGTCGATAAGTGATTGGAGCGTTTGCAAAACATTTTATTTCGCATAATGCGTCTAAATTTATCAGAAAGCAACTTATGTGATATTTTAATAACAATGTTTATATGACTATTAACCATAATAAGAGAGTAATGACCATTTTACAATTTATATATCACATTAATATGAAACTGCAATAGAGCAATTGTTTGTGATAGAAACCTAGGCATTAGGTCGGGGAATTTTTATCGTGATGACGTGCACGCCACTTTGTTTGGCGTTGACTATATGTAAGAATGACCTTGCTAGACCTCAATCGTTAGACGTGCGCCCCCTAGTATTATCCCACCTCCGCTCTTCAACTGTCACAAGAACATTTGCTCTGCGCTGCTTAAACGTTTAAGCATGTTTAGGCAGATACCCAAATCCCCTTTGGAGAGGCGTGGATCCAGGGGAGGCAATGCCTCCTTGCAGGAAAAAATGAGGAAAGGGGAAAGAAGGAGAGATCACATTGTTTGAGAGCAACTTAAAAAATGTGCATTCTGTACTTACAGTGCTGTTTATTGTTTTCCTTCTTAATTACATTGTAATAAGCGCAAACGGCTTAACAATACTCCCTGAAAGTAGGCAATCCGCACTACTTATGCCCCTTCTCCCCAAGACGTGGTCCAAGGAAATCCGAGGCAATCCAGTTAGGGTTACGAATTCTACTGATTTTTCAATATATCTTACGATTTTTCCTGGAGCGGATACAAAAAGTGCAAGGAAATCTAAGAAAATCTGAGGAGAGGTTACGAATTCTACTGATTTTTCAATATATCTTACGATTTTTCTTGGAGCGGATACAAAAAGTGCCAGGAAATCTAAGAGAATCTGAGGAGATCCAAGGATCTACGGGGAGATCCAAAAAACTATGCGGAGATCCTTTGATCCAGAAAAGTTTCAGTAGTTCGCCCTTCGAAGCTTCTCTTAAATGCACTTTGCCTAACAAAACAGTAATATATTTGGGTGTGCACCTTTTCATTTTGAAGGCAGAGATCGCAGGTATTCTCTCCAGAAGATTTCATAGCTGAATATTGAATGAATGAATAACGAAATTAGAGGCATACCGGCCATCATGAGGAGCTGGTGCACAGGCCGCATAAACGGGAACTTATGCACCCCTACATTCCCTAAGCCTCAAGCTCCGCCCTTCTAGCAAAGTTGAGTATAGCCCTCACTCGTAGCTCCTTAACAGTTTGGGGATCCAAAAAGAGAAATGAGAAACCACCAAGCCGCACACGCGTGAGTGATCACTGGTCTAATAACTGTCTTGTATAGCCTAACTTAATTTTGAGGTTGTACATAGCATAGGGTATAGTTGCCGAAATGTAATTTGGAATTTGGATTTTAACGCTTAATTGTACTTCTGCCAGGACATCCTCTTATCAAGAGTCACATCAAGATACTTGGCGGAATTTTGCCATGGTGCGCGAACTCCGTTCAGTGAAACCTCAGTCGGAGCGCCGCTACGTTTTTGTATGGAAAATAGCCTGCGTTTTCGAATGATTAATTTTGTTCAGCCATCCATCCGCCCATTCCAGTACCTCAATCCGTCGCAATTTGCAGCCCATCGTGAACCAGATTTCCATAATACCACCAGGGCAGGGTTATTAGCATAGAGGTATACTTCACAGTTGCCGGGGCAAGCGATGTCATAAATAACAACTGAATAAAGGATTGGTCCAAGAACCGAACCCTGAGGGACACTGGCTCTGATAGGCCGTGTTGTCGACAGAACATTATTAGCTTTGATCCAAAATTTCATACCTTCAAGGAAGGACCTCAAATGTCGAAGCAACAGTTAATTTGTGTTTTTGTAAATACTGTGACAAATAGTTCTGTTGGCGCCATCTGTTGGGCGAGTCTCCCACTCGCCAGAACTTAAAGGCCGATCTCTGCTTTTACGCGAATCATGACCGCACAAGCCGCTTGGCGGCGTCTGTGAGGACCGTGACAGTGGATCGCCTTCTAGATCGACGCAAAGTGACCTCCAATATTCTCGATGTCCCTTTGTGGTTCTCGAGGCAGCAATTGGGACTATATATATAATTCGGCGGCCGGTAGATGGAAGCAGAGGGTACAGATTACACCAGAGCAGAGTGGAGTGGAGTATAGTGCAGTCAATGGCGACATAAGAATTAGTCAGACATAAATAGTGGTGTGTATAAATGTTCGATCAAGTTAAATAAATTAGTGCATTTCTTTTTGTGGAATCCAGTGTTTTAATCCTCACCCAAAAGAATCCAGAAAAACGCTACAATACCTTTATATTTAAATTAAAGTAATTTCAACGGAGTACTAGGAAATAATTGATTCTCAAAGTGGGCAATAGACGGAATAAGTTTGAGAACCTCCGGCTTAGATCGAGCATACGCTCTGCAGACACCAATCTACGACAGGGTGGGGCAGAGTTCCCCGATTTGGAAAGCTAATAAAAACAGAACTAATGAAGATATAGAAAAAACACTTAATTTGTTAATGAGCATACATAATGCTATTTTAAGTCAATGGGTTTTGAAAATGACATCACTCAAGTGTGCGAGTCCATTTTTGATACACTGAGTGAGCCTCTCCTGATAATATTCCATCGCTCTGCGAATCATGTAGGGCAGAATGCTAGCAATTTTCTGGATTATGATCTCACCAAGAGTGTCGAGAGTTTTTGGCGATGTTGGTACACTTTCTCCTTAAGGCAACTCCAAAGAAAATAATCACATGGAGTGAGTACGGAGGACACCCGATGTCACCACGCAAAGAAACAACGTGCCCAAGTAACATTTCTCTCAGAATTACCATTGAACGACGAGGAGCTGTGTGGGCTGTTGCCCCATCTTGTTGATACCACACACGTGTTTTTGTCCATGTTCGTCCAAAAGAGCAGCCACTTTGGGCTCTAGAAAGCTCGCTAGCATCATACAATACCGATCTGCGTTTACTGTAACAGAAACACCGTTTTTTTTCAAAAAAATATGGACCACACACACCAATTCCAGAAATGGCACACCAGAGCTATGAAGTTACCACTCATGAAGTTTTGGCAATTTTTGTTAATCTCGAAACGTGGAAATGGGTCTCATCACTGAAGATCAAAACGTCCATACGACGAATGTTGCGAAGTTCTTGGCTCAAAATGGTACGAGCTTCACGGACGCTTTCACGCAACTGTGTAATGAAAACTTTATAGAAATGCATATGAAAAACCCGGTGCAGAATTGTCCGAACATTTCGATTTGATAATCACAAAGTATTTTTTTTAATTGACGCTCTCACAGCGGCTACATTTGCTGGCCCTGTCGTTGTTCGAGGTCGACCAGATTTTCTTTTTAATGCCGATCCTGTTTCTTGGAGGTTTGATACCCATTTAATAATATTGTCTTTCTATCGGGAAGCCATTTTATCGACGAACCACCATTTCGAATAAACTCTTCAACGAAGAAACGGTGGTGCAATCCTGACCAAGTCATGGTTTAGAGTAAACATCCCATGAATAGATACGTCGAAAGATAAATCCCCCACTGTCCTACCCCCCATAGCCGTGGCTAGACGGTTTCTAAATCAGGGAGGTCTCTCTGCCATAACCTATTCTTTACTATTTAGTTTAGAAATGCTACCGGAGATGTATTTTCCAAGAGCCTAAGTGGACTTTTGGTCCTTTGAGCCGGATAAAAAAAATCCGCGAACATTTTTTCCATACCCGGTATTCACACGGCGCATTCCATCTCCTCTCACCTGCCGCGTGTCGCGGCTACACGGAACCTGTCTCCCGCGCTGGCTGCATGTACGTTGCTGTAGGCAGCAGAAGAACGCGGCTCGAAGGACCATCGAATCGCAGCTGGTTCATAGTTTATAGCGCGCTAATCAGTCGATTCGGTACCATCAACGAGCGAGTTCCGCGACCATCGTACCGCTTCCCGTTCAGGAACGTCGCCGTTATCATCTGATAACAGTTCATGTGTGATATGTGCAAATTGAGTGGATAATTTTGTGCGAAGATGTTTAAGAAACATAGACAGAAGCAGAATGGAGAGACGGCTGTGGATAATCACAACTATGTAAGTGCTTACAAGCCGTAGTTTGGAACGTTAGAGCTTCAAGCAAAGCTACTGTTTGCTAGGAACCACCCATTTAAATACTCGTTTAACTCGTATCAGGAATGTTAAGAACAAGATACATTTCCTAGTCACATTCCAAGGAATAATACTGAACGTCCACCTTATTTTGAAGAGTAGATATTATACAAGGCTATGTAGAGAAAAGTACTTCTTAGCCCTAAGGCAATACTGTGTTTTGGAAGCATTAAACTGTACAAGATTGTTGCGTTCCCAAACAATGAATCGCTGCTAGTCTTACTTTCTCCAGCTCACCGGCAGAGATCGGCTTGTCACTCTGAATACATGCATGTAGAGTGATGTCATCAGCAAAGCTGTGGATTATATTGATCGTATAGGAAAGGAGATCGTTGATATGTAAGAGGAACAATATCGGAGGCAAGACCGATCCCTGTGGAACACCCGCGTTGATGTTGTGGGATGAAGAGAAAAACCCTGTCAGTTACAACGGATAGCTGAAAAGTTTCTCTGGGAGGCCACATGATGGAAGTTCGGATAGGAGCATGCTACAGCTGATCGCACGCTTTTGTGATATCAAGAGCAACGACATGAGCCTCACCATAAGACTGGATGAACTTACTCTACGATTGCATGACGTAAGCTAGGAGGTCCCCTGTAGATCGCTGGTGCCGGAAATCATACTGCCTGTAGCTAATCAAACCTTGACCTTCGGTATACTCCAGAAGCTCCCGATTTAAGCACCTTACTTATGTAACAGAAAGCAGAGCTACAGGCGTGTAGTTGTAAGGGTCGGTCTTAGATCCTTTTTTGGGATGGGTTGGACATAAACAAATTTCCAGTGTACTGGGAAGGTGTCGGATACGTAAGATATCTGGAAGAGACTCAAAAGAACTGAAGCAAGCTCCGCTGCACACCTCTTCGATATGACGGCACCTTTATTGATGTCGAGCGACAAGAGCACCCGTCTTACGGTTTTATGCCTGGAATACGTTAAAACAAAGCAAACTTACTCTCAATTAGGAACTATCGGCAGCTCGTATTGGACTTGGCAACAGAAATGGAGCCCGTCCCTGTGATATGTGAGCAAGTTTGAAGATGAAGACGTAAATAGATTGCATTTTTTCGATGTCTAAACAAAGCTTTCGAAAGTCTTGCCAGCTTTGTTTTGAAGCAGCTTATGGTCCATAGCCCATGTTTGTAGCAGTGATTCCACGTATCTCCATCAGAGTTTTCATGTACTCACAACTTCCGACCCAGCAGCTAAGGGCTGGTGTACTGTCATGACAAAGTCGCAACATTCATGTCAGTATTTTTAATGTTTATGCCTGGTTGTACGTATATTTTGGAGTGTGTGATTGAGAACTGTAAGTTTTTGAAGTTAATTTGATTGTTGGTCATCTGGGGATCGCCATCCAGCCGGGGCTCTGACCACGTGTCACTTCATCCCATATGGTAAAAACGGAATAGGGCATCAGTATAAAAAAGGTGGTCTCTATCCCGGGAGCCATTTGTTGGTGGCAGTAGAAAGAACTGTCCCTGAAGTGAGCCTTATTTTTAGCTCCAGCGAGAACGAACAGCGCTATCTATCGGCAACTGTAGCAAAACTGATCTCTTGTGATCTTACATCTCCAAATTCAGCATCTTTGAACTGTATACACATGGAGTCATCACTGAAATCGCTACCAAGTTACCTTTCGGACGTCACCAAGTCTGTTTTCTATCGTACATGATACAATAATGATACGGTTGCATATGCATATGCAACATCGTTGTTAACTTGTGCTTTCAATCGGAGCTTTAGACAACCTTCTTCTGAATCAAGGCCTCGTTATACCAATAAGCCTCCAAGAGAATAAAGCATTATTAAATTAAAATCCTCTTGTTATATTTTACATTGTCCAATTTAGACTACTAGTCGCCAGTGCACATACTCACTTTATTTGCTATAAGCGGCTATACAGTTTACTGCACAACTATTTCGGCTCAATGTGAGAAGAATGAGACCTAGAGCTGGGTTAGTCCTGAATAAGTCGTTCTGAAGGAATTATACCGCACTAGGAAGCGAAGGAATCGATCCCGTGGGTTTAGATTCCGATTCCGGTACTTTCGATTTCGACTACAACGCTTTTGATTTTGAATTACATAACTGGGATTTTAATCGCTTAAAATCGGATTGCTATATTCATGTTTAGGTGTCATTTAATATTTTCAATATTACATGTTTAACGAAGAAACATCATTCCATGCAAACCAGATTTATTTGGATTAAACAATTTTCGTTTAAATATTGACTGAAACTAATAGACATTGAAAAAATATGTAAATGGATAGATGCTTTTAGACATAATTTATTTTGGTCACCCGTCCAAAAACCAGCTTTCCACCTGTTAAGCAAAATAGGTAGCAGGTGGATAGCATCAGATGATAGTTGAAAATCAGGTCCAGTTAAATGGCAAAAAAGATTGTGCCTACAACCAGCTAAACACATATTTTCTGTGGGGGTAGTTTTGGAAGATTTTTTACCAGTATCGGTTTAAAGTTCATTTAAAGAATCATTTACTTGAAGAAACGTTTTAGCAGGCTGTCACTGTTACAGTCTTTCCACTCGATGTCATAAGAAACACAAGATATTGTTGACATCTAAATATTTTATGTAAAATCAACATAATATTTATTTTGCAAAAAATAACAACGACACCAAACGACTTATGTCTTATAAATAACAAAAACGTGTATACAGAGTGTTTCAGTTTATTGTTGCATATTTTTAAGATTCGATAGAACTTTTAAAATTAATGCATAAAGTCTATATAAACATGGGTCGAAAAATGCGTGGCTTCCGAAATACAGGGTGTTTACATTTACTTTCTAAAATAGTTTTTTTTAAATATTTCGAACAATATTTGATGTATAACAGTGAAAATTGGTATACAAGGGTTTTTTGGTACGACAAAACGAACCATAGTTGTACTGTAGCCGCTAGAGGGCGCTCTCTACTGTACCTGTAGTGTATTAAAATGACCGAAAATTTTTTCTTAGTGCAATTTTTTGCTTTTTGAATAAAAAAAACTCATTCTTCGCACCTTTCAACATAAAAAAGCTCTCCTGTGAGTTTTACATTTACTTTCTAAAATAGTTTTTTTTAAATATTTCGAACAATATTTGATGTATAACAGTGAAAATTGGTATACAAGGGTTTTTTGGTACGACAAAACGAACCATAGTTGTACTGTAGCCGCTAGAGGGCGCTCTCTACTGTACCTGTAGTGTATTAAAATGACCGAAAATTTTTTCTTAGTGCAATTTTTTGCTTTTTGAATAAAAAAAACTCATTCTTCGCACCTTTCAACATAAAAAAGCTCTCCTGTGAGTTTTCGTTATAGTTAGCAGATTTTGAGATATTTCGATTTTTAAGGTTCGATGCATTTTTAATTATTTATGATAAAATAACGTTAAAAAGTCAGTATCTCGATAATTTTTAGAAGTAGGCTGTGCCTGCAAATATTTTTGAAATTGAAAGCAGAATAAGGTTAAACGTCAATTAGTTGACAGTTAGTTTTGTTGTCTGTTGAAACCTGAAAGGTTTTTTTGTAACTGTGAATGCACGAAATTTAGTTTCTTTTACCTGTTTTTTTTTTGTAAGTTTTATAAAAATGCCATTTTTATTCTCCAATCAAGAGTTAGCGGATATTCATTTTGTGTATGGCTTTGTAAATGGAAACTCAGCAGAAGCAGCCAGAGTACGCACGGAGATTTCTAAACAGACGACATCCAACTCGCTCAGAGTGCATCGCCAAATAATTGAAAATGGTTTTGGAAATCTCCAAAGGGATCAAAACATAAATGTTCGTCAGCGCAGATTTACCCGTATGATTCTGCGTGAGTTTGATAGAGATCCGACCACAAGTGTTAGGAGAGTTTCTAGTGCCTTGAGAATTTCAGCAAGCCATGTTCACCGTGTTCTTAGAAATGACCATAGACGTCCTTACCATTTGCAACCTGTGCAAGGACTACAGCCAGGGGACGGAGAACGAAGAATCACATTTTGTCAGTGGATTCTTGATAGAACTGATAATAATAGGGAGTTTTTAGGTAACGTTTTATGGACCGATGAGTCAAGCTTCACTAGACGTGGAGTGGTAAATTTTCATAATCAACATATTTGGTCGCATGAAAATCCGCATGCAGTTCGGGAAAGAAATTTTCAGCATGAATTTAGTGTGAACGTGTGGATTGGTATCTACCGTAATTGACTATTTGGACTCTACCTTTTGCCTGACCTTCTTGGAATTTTTAAAGGCTGAACATGCAAATATGTGGGATGATGTTATGTTAGATTGGCCTGGTTCCAGCTTGATGGTTGTCCAGCTCATTATTCGAGAATAGTCAGAAACTGGCTGGACGAAAATTATCCAGAAAGATGGATCGGCCGTGGAGGACCAGTCGCCTGGCCTCCACGATCCCCTGACCTAAATCCATTAGATTTCTTTGTGTGAGGATTTCTAAAAGAAAAAGTGTACCAGACTCCCGTAACCACAAGAGATATGCTAATAGACAGAATCAGGAATGCATGTGATGAAATAAGGCCTTATTTGAATTGTGTATTGAACATTTGGGTTTACATTTCGAGCAACTACTTTAGATTTTGTATGTTTGTCCTAACTATCCAATAGCATTTTGGTTGTAAATAATTAATTTAATTTGTTAAAAATAATATTGGAAAATTAAACAAATTAATATTCTGTTTTTTGTGTTTATTTGGAGTTAGGAATTATTGCTGTGTTTAAAAACACAATCTAAACGATCATCTTAATTACTTGTAATGCCCAAATCGAAAATGTAAAAAAAAATATTATTTTCCCATAAATAATTAAAAATGCATCGAACCTTAAAAATCGAAATATCTCAAAAACGGCTAAGTATAACGAAAACTCACAGGAGAGCTTTTTTATGTTGAAAAGTGCGAAGAATGAGTTTTTTTATTCAAAAAGCAAAAAATTGCACTAAGAAAATTTTTTCGGTCATTTTAATACACTACAGGTACTGTAGAGAGCGCCCTCTAGCGGCTACAGTAAAACTATGCCCATGGTTCGTTTTGCCGTACCAAAAAACCCTTGTATACCAATTTTCACTGTTATACATCAAATATTGTTCGAAATATTAAAAAAAAAACTATTTTAGAAAGTAAATTTAAACACCCTGTATTTCGGAAGCCACGCATTCTATATTCTATCGAATCTTAAAGTTATGCAACAATAAACTGAAACACCCTGTATAATGTCAAAAAAATCGGTCAAATGCCAACTTGTGCACTAGATAGCCGCTAGTTCATTGCGAGCTTACTACAAGTAAGCATGAAGTGAATATCAGCTAGTTCAAAGGTGAAATTTTATAGGAAAACCTACATAAAATGTCATAAAAATCGATGTAGTGTCGCTTGGTGCCAGTAATTCTATGCACCTATTGTTTCGCGAAACAGTTTCGAGCAGTGACAACACGGCTTACTCATTAGATACATATTACCCCGCAGATTTGCCCTTAACACTTTTTATTTATTATTTTCGATATACGCGTGCCAGACATCTCAATGTGCGTACCTATATCTGCTTTGAATCCCGAGGGATAATGAATAACGATGCTTGATGTGTATTCGTATATCTAATGCTGTGCTGGGCTGCCACCTTGCTGGTTGGTCGGTACTGTCGCTAGGGGGTAGGCTAGATCGTAATTTTGTCAAATCTATAGAGACTATGGACTAATTGCATGAGCCTCTTTGCAAGATAGCAATATTAATTGTGAACAAATGAAAGAAATCTATTTCGAAACCATGGAATTGAATCACCAAAAGGCCCAGCTCTAATGAGACCAATCCAGAACGTTCTTCAACAGTTCTTAAACGCGCAAAAGCAGGAACAACCAAAACATAAAAATTTTGTCTGAGCATGTGTGAAAAGTACTAATTAACATAAATGTGTGCATGACTAGTAATTAAGTTCCTTGTATTTGTCACACAACTCATATGTAATAATTTGTTAATTATATCAACAGCTGCACTCCTATGTACATTGTACACATGTAGGGCAAACAACTGCAGTTTTATATTTGAATGAGAGGCAGGAAAAGTATATAGGGCTAGTCGACTTGCTTTTTTAATGATAATCTTCATTTAAGGTGCAAAAAGAGGTAACATTTTTACCCAATCCCTAGTGAAACAACTACACGAAAGACACCTAATATGACAGAAGCGATGGATCTATCAGCTATCTATTTTGAAAACTCCAGAACCTTCCAATTATGCAGTAGTCGTGTATTTTTTAAACGTTTCTATACATTTTTAATCGTACTTTATGATATACGTCGAAAACTGAGGACATCCAAGCTGAATATTTCAAGTAAGTGGTCTCTCCACCTACTCCACCAGGAGAGAGAGAGGAGAGATACTTTCATAAATCGTTTATGCGCAGGGCCCTTATGTCCGCGATGCCCGTACCGTTTGCTACTTACTCTTGCTAATTGAAAATATCATATCATAACTTTACGACAAGGATCTATCAGTATTATATCTTGACCATATAAAAGTTCCAGACATTATTATAAATTATAACCAATAGCAAGTAAGTTAAATTCAAGTCATCTTTGAAAACTCGCCACTATGTCTCGCAACATTTTATGTCTCTTGACTTTTGCCAAATGTTTTGTTTCAATCCGGGCGAGTGTTGTCAGTGAACACGAGATATGTACACTATGAAATTGCTCCATTCCACAGTTTACTGAAAAGTAGGAACATAAATACATTTTCATTTAATGAAATGAAAATTATTATAATTTTTGTAGATGCGTTGGTTGATCACTCAAAATTTTCCGTTACGCTTACACAATATGAGATTAGGTAAGAGCAGTGAAAGTATCGAAATACCTATTAACATCAACAGGAAAAAGACCTTTAGAAAAATTGCTAAATAATGAAAAGTGGCACTTGATTCGCAGTTTATCTAGAATTCTGTATCACGAATCAATATCAACATGTAGTTCAGCAGTATCTCGTACGCAGATACCAACCAATGACAGTAGAAATAATTGGACGTAAGAGTTTCAAGTTTTTATCAACAAAGCAGTTTTACATAGAATGGAATATTTTCCAAAAAAACGATCAAAAAAATATATGTATTAATCCCTTCTGCTTCTTATTTCCAAATGTCTTGTCGATAAACTGTATTAACACACTTTTAAAAAAACACATTTTTCGAAAAATCAGAAATGCGTTTTTATCCATTAAGCCTCTCTCTTTCACACGTCTAATTTTCTTACTTGTTTTTACAGAATAAATGAGTTAGTTATGTGTGTATGTATGCTTTACATAGGAGCAGATAGTCCCTGTTGGATCTACCAATAATAAATCTATTTTCAGGCACCATCAGTTCCTCCACCAGTATCTCCAATAACGAAAAACTCCCTTCAGTTCCACTGCCAACTAGCCCATGGAAGCCCGACAGTATTCGTATCGAACTTTTCTAGCGTCAGAGAACTTTATCAAAAGATTGCAGAATCGTTCGACATGTCACCTTCAGAGGTAAGCAAGAATTGTACTTTACTTCCGATGACCATAGGCACAGAGGTGAGATTCCGAACACGATATTTTACAAATTGTGAACTACGAGTATTTTTTGGTGGACTTTGAGATAAACGGTATAATAATACTTATGTAAGGACTAATATGCCTCACAGATGTAAGCGGTTCCTGTTAGAACTCATTCCTCGGTACGACTGCTTTTTCTCATAAAAAATTAAATTAAATAATCGGAAGGAAATACTCGTGCCTCAATCAAAGACGTATTATGGAATGCCTAAACAATAAGTAAACTAGACGTCATCTTTGCGGCATTTTATGTTGTTAGTAAATACATAGGGGAAGTCCGGGAGACTTGCCCCTCCCAATTTATTATTGGTGATAAAATTTATTCCTATTTATATAAATCAATAAATTTTAGATGCCTTCGTAGCATATATTTTTAGGAACCTTGTTTTATCATTTAAACCTTAAAAAAATAAGTCAGAAAAAAATATAGTTTTTTTATTTTTTTGAAAACATGGGCAACTCTCCCACATATGCGGGAGACTTGCCCATAGTCAGAAGGAGAGTTGCCCACCCCCCTTATTAAATAAAAACAAATGTAAATAATAACTTTTGTATTCGAAAAACTCAAAAAATAAAACAAAAAACTTTACTTATTCAAGTACGAAACTAAATCTAAATCTTTGAAATCAGAATAAACATAAGTTTAATGCAAAAAACAAATAAAAATAATTTTAAAAAACTATGAACCTTCTGGGCCATCAGAAACGAAGTCTTCTCGATATTTGATACGAGGGAATATAAAAAAGGGTGGAATAACGCTTCCAATTGCATTGACTGCAAAACAAACTGTCACCAAAGTGCCCCTCTCTGATGAAGTAACTTGACCAACCTGCTTAGCTTTTTTACTGGCCAATACCTTAGGACAATCCTACTTCATCACAGTTATAAATATTTTGTGGTTCAAACCTAAAAATTTCTCGTACAATCCCTAAGTTTTGAAAAAAATCGTGTACATTCTTCCGACTGAAGCTTGTAGATCGTGACAAGCTTGTTGCCTCCGGAGTTCTTAAACTAATTACGGGATTTCTTGATAACAAACCGCGAAACCAATCCTTCCCTGCCATACTATTTTTTGACCAACTTTCTGGAATTTTTTTGGAATTCGAAACTGCAAACTCAAAAGCTAATTTCATTCCTTGTTTTCGAGTAAGTCCATAGTGCATTTTGCTGCAATTTAAAAAATATTCAACCAGACGCTTCTCTTCTTGTATGGTGAATATTTGTGAAGTATTATATTGGCCTTTAGTTTCTATTTTTTCAAGTTTATTTTCATTGTTCTTGTAGCGTCTCAAAGTCCTCCGATCAATATTATATTTTGCAGAAGTTTTTCGAAGAATTCCTAGTTCATCTAGTGCATTTTTAAGAAGATCCTTATCAAGTTTTTTGCGAGTGGAACCGTCTTTTGTTTTGTACTTAAATGGCATTGTACAGACCTGTAATAAAAAAATGCATCAACTTTTACTAAAATTAATTAAAAACAAATACCAAGTAGAATTACATCAGAAAGGGAGAGTTGCGCCTCTGGGCAAGTATCCCTCCTGAGGGATGGGCCAGTCTCGCACACCTTTCTGTTTCAGGTTAGGTTCAATTTTCTTAAAAATCATGAATAGTGCACGTTTAACATTTATGGTGCATAAATCTACAATGTCTAATTAATATACCCACACAAGAATCTAAAAATTACCTTTTAATTTGCCCACAAAATCACGAAATTTGTAAAAGTATTAATTTTTGGTTTAAACGCAAAAAGCCACATGCCTCGGGTCAGATACAAAACAACTGAGCAAAGTCAACTAGGATTTCGTAGACGCCTAGAAGCAAAGCTCTCGTTTCAGATTATGGTGCGCAATTTTAAAGTAAATACATCACGGAGGGGCAAGTCTCCCACCTGGGCAAGTCTCCCGGATTCCCCCTACTCGATAATTTGTAGGGTAAGTGAATAGTATACTTTCGGTTGAACATGGCAGATTTCATGCAGTTACGTGCGGGTAAAACATATCGAAAAAGACGGAATGTTAGCCCTAGTCAGTCAAACCGTTTGTTAAGGTTTGATTCAGAAAGTGTAGATTTCTTATGTTCTGAGTTTCTGCCAGAAAATAATGAACGCAGAGACGGAGCACTATCTGGAAGAACAAAAAGAGATATTTCTACGCTATCTAGGCGATCCAGGGTTTCAGAGCGGAGTAGCAGAAGACTATGGGATTCACCATTCATTTTATCTCTTTGGTGATTCTGGATATGGGATATCACCATGGCTCTTGACTCCATTTAAACCTGCAATAAACAGACAAGAAAGGTTTAACCTATTACATTCTCGAGAACGGGTGATAATAGAAAGATTATTCGGACAACTGAAATTGCGCTTTCCTATACTCAGTAATACTGTCAGAGTATCAAGTGAGAAGAAGAAGACATTTTTTGCCGTCGCGTCGTAAGGAATACGTAGTACTGGTGTAGCGAAGCAAATACTTAAATTGGAACGTTTATAAGTAAATACTTGCTAGTAATTACTTCAACTTTTCCAGCAAACGCTACCTAGTAAAAGTAAACGCTTATTCTCTCTAAATTAAGTATTTGCTTTTACTTGAAAGACCTTACTTTACTAAAAAGTAAATACTTCCTAGTGTTTACTACTTTTTATTCACTTGGCTCATTGACCAGACTCAGTCGTGTGGCGTTCACTTCTCGATAAATGTCGCAAATTCATGAATATTGCAAATCGTCATTGCCAAACAAATTTTACTGATTGTAACAATTTACTAAAATTTGAGAATGTAGACTCTGAATGGTGAAAATTTTTGAATTTGAGACGTTTAGTAGGAGCTTTTGCAGGCGTTGGACATATTAGTAAAAAGACATGTTTTTGGCACCTAAAACTTTTTGGAAGAATCAATGGTTGTTTTGAGAGACCACATCGTTTTATGGTTAATATCCACAATGGGAAGATGATTCCAACATCTAGTTTGTTGTCAGTTGACTGTGTGTCATTACGTGTTTCAGTATTTACTCGGATGGCCGCCAATTCATTCTCAATTTACTTGGCTCCTGATGGTATTATGACGTTACGACGCCAAATACCGGTTGCTTATGATTTTAATCATCAATGAAATAATAATTTAAACAAAATTACTCGCACCTTATGGAAACGTTCACTTTCCGATGTGGGACTTTGTATGAGCTGAACAAAGGTTGTGTGTGCTTAGTTCCATCAAATACTGGAACTCATTTGGAACCAATAATTGCTAATAATAACATCCCTTACTGCCGTATATTGAAATATCATAAGTGCTCGCTAATTCCCTGGAAAGAACATATCCTCCAGGGTAACAACTATACATATAGAGTAGGTTACAACGAGTATTACACAGCTGGGGCATCACAGTGATACGACGGGCTTAATGTTACTTGGTGAGGATACCTATGATGTTGACCGGTTGTGTAATACTGGCGATAACATACTTGATGACTCTTGAAAGGCCAGGAAGATTCATGGTACCTCAGTGAAGCTAAATAGTCACGACTCGATTCTGCCCTTTGAAACGACTTGACTCATCCATTTTCTTTGACACCTTCAACCAAGGCGTAGGAATCTACAGGACTCCATTTTTATTTCGCTTATTGTATTGAGTTTGAAAAGTGACTCGTTCAGAAACGCATCGTTGCCCCCTCGTATACGTCTATTAGATAGCATCACCGTAAAGACCTACATCCTGTACAATAGAGAGAAACTTTGAACAGCATGACCTTTGAAATGTCACTTCCCACCCGACTTTATCCAATGGAAACGAACAAAGAATTTATATTGGCAGCATATCTTTTTTACCGATTCTGTACACACAACACCGCGCGTAGAACGGTACTTCTGGGTACTCCGAATAATCACCTTGAATTTGTAAATGCGTTCATATACAGGGTGATATATTCGATGAATAAACGATAATACCTTACATACTGCTTGTTATATTCCGTTTCATCGATCCATCCTTATTATAAATCCCTTATGCAAGATCGTAAAGTATAAGTCATTGACGTCGCATTAGTCTGAAGGAGATTGCTTTCTGAGAAAAAAAGCAAAATTCAAAGTAATGCAATAGGTAGTTACTTGAAACTGATTTCAATGTTTCGCTTTTTACTTCCCACTGTCGGAGAAGTGTTATAATCGCGAAAATTTTCGAAACTGAGATAGTATGTTTTTTGGATGTTATATGACATGGACATCACGAAAATTCATGTCACACATTTCTGTCGGTCTGTCTGTCTGTCGGCGGTCTGCCCGCTAATCTTATAACCGCCTAAAATTTGAGAAGTTACCGCTCGGATTTCGATGAAACTTTTACACAATGTTACTATTATGCCAATGACGCAAAAGCTTCGGTCCAGTAGCGGCGGCAGCGTTGCGTGGGAAGTACAGAGTCAACTTACTTGACACCATTTTTTTATATACTGGACAAGAAGTAAGGAGTTTACTAGATTTATCTGTCTGAAAATGGTCTTGAAGGTGATGTTCGGGTCATATTGGCAAGAATAACTTAACATTGTCGGAAATCTGCATTTCAGGAATTAAAAATGAATATGTCCCGTTAAGAATTCGTTTCTTGCTTTCCGGTGTCAAAAATATGGGTTTTCCATATAGGAAAACTGTGCTGACGTTAAAATTAGTCAAAGGTCATAGTCAAGGCGTACCCCCCTTTTTCCTAGCTCGGCAAAAATTAAATAGAGAGAACATTTATTACAAAAATAAATCATTCATGTAAAGGATTCTCCACAAGTTGAATCAATATTTATCAGATGATAAATTACCAGAAGGGCCAATGTCACCAACAACAGTCCGTTATTTTCCACTTATAGGGTAACAGACCGTCAAATACAACGAATGAGCTTCAAGTTCCAATCAACAAATTTTAGCAACCAATAGCTAAGAAAAGTTGAAAACA